GATTTTGAATTTTGGTTTCTCGTATTGTAAACTTACATTTACAGGACGGACGAATTAGTTATGCGGAGTTCAAAGTGATGATGACAAAGGGCATGGATTGGAAGATGGCTTCTCGACAATACTCTAGGGCAATGCTAAATGCCCTAAGCATGAGACTTTTCAAAGACAAATCTTTGATGGTGAAAAACTAAAATTGTTCAATCACCCTTCTTGTTGGGCAAGAGCAAAATGCAAATGCTTATCTTTGGTTCTCCAACTTCACACATAAAATCAACCCCATTTTTGTGAATTTGGGCACATTTGATGAAGGGATGTTCTATGTGGTATACTGCATTTTTCTAAATTGAGTGCTCAATTCTACCAAGTTCATTGAAGAAATCTTGGGATATTGAAAATGAAATACACATATGATATATGATATCTAAAAAGTAATTAAATAATTAGTGACCCTATTAGTTTAGAAGTTGCTATTTTTGTGATTTTTGAATTTAAATTTTAGATTTTTAAATAATTACTAAATCGAATCTGTGCACTGAAGTTAAAGTTTACAAAGAAAGGATTGAGTTGCGGGGATAGTGGATTAGTAAGTCATTAGATTTGAAACCAAACTCTCTTCCTTTGGGGGATATGAATTGAGATTTTCAGTGGTCCTTTCTTCTCTTCTTTTTATCGAAGCTAAACCCTAGAGGATAGAAGTTGGGTGTTTGATTGAAAATAATTTGTTCACTTAAAACTATAATTAAATTCTTGACGACGGTAATAAAATATTTTTATCATTAAGTCCTTGTTTGGTGAGGATTAAAATCAGATTTTTAATAAATTTTGATAAAAGTTGATATTGTGTGATGAAAAGTTGTGGGTCCAATGATTTGTGTGATTAAAATTAATTGTTAATTTTGACTTAAATTAAAATTTTAATTTTAATTTTCACTAAATATGTACTTTTAAAAAAAATATATCTTTAGAAAATTCCCTTCATTTAATCAAACACAAAATTTATAAATCCAAACCAATTAATTGACGCACTTATTGTAATTCTTCGAGCATTTCTAAAAGAACTTTCCATTTTTAAACATCATCTTTTACAATTTAAAGAGTATCTCTATATTTAGAGAGTAAAATTTTTTAAATAATCCAACGCTCTCTTTATCTTTAGTACTTAATTTTACTAGTCAGATACTCCCCCTGTCCCATTCACTACAAGAATTTTATGTTTTCCCAAAGGTGTTTTTGTAGGAAAAAGTTCTTATTTGTAGGGAAAAATCTTTGCATACAAAATAATAATAATAATAATAATAATAAATAAAATTGTAGGCACATTTGTAGGGATAGACTTTAACCCACAAAATTTTGAAATTTGTGGACAAAAGTTTTTCCCTACTAACCTTTTGGAGACGAATACAATACGTCCCGTAAGTTTCCCCCGACAAAAGCATTCGTTTGCTAAATTGAATTTTGCCCGCTTAAGGATTCACTTTTCCCTACAAATTATGTTGTGGGCTAAATCTTGCTTTTACTTGCAATTTTTTTTTTTGTGGAAAGAATATTTGTAGGCTAATATATAAACATTTTCCCAACAATTAAAAATTTGTGACAACATGGTTTTAAATATTTTGTGGGCTAAACCCTATTTTTCTCCACAAATATTTTTTTGTAGGGAAATCATATTTGGATGCTATTATGAAAGAATTCGCATGGATAAATTAAATTATTTTCATATATTTTATTTATTTTCTTATTATGGTAATTTTTTAACCATATTCAAAATAATATAAAGATTCAAAAAAACAATATATTGAATCCAAAATATTTCACGAAAACATAAATCAAAACCATTTACTAAGTATAGTCACATCTGGACTCAAAAATAGTATAGCAAACATCCTATGTATCTATAATTATGCCCCTAAAAAACATATCTGTTCATCCTTATGAATTAGATATGCAACTGATCATCACTAAAGTTGTTCTCTTCGTTCTCAATAGCATTATTTTCCTCATTAGCATTAATCTCTATTAACAATTGGTGAAAATTGTGAAAGCCCAAGAATAGTAAACTAAGAGTGGGGTGAATTGGTTTTCAAATTTTTTTCAAAAATAAATTCAAGTCTTAAAACA